AGAGGACTTGGATTTGATTTCCAGTACCCATATGGCAGCTAACAAACATAGGTAATTCCACTTCCAGGGGATCTGACGCCGTCTTCTGACCTCAGTGGGTGTTGCTTAACGTGGGTGCACTTACACACATGCAGGGAAAACACTCACACATAAATAAAAACAATAAATAAAAATTTTAAAAATGAGGAAATGCTAAGGGTGTAGGAATTCAAAAATTATTGAAAACCCAAAACATGCAAAACCCATGATTCAAGGAAATTCGATCCGGCAACTTCCAAATTCTAGATACAAATACAAAGGTCAAAAGGACACAAGGATACAAGGTCACAGTCAGACACGACTCAGTGAAATCTCCTGTAGACATCTTATAATCAAGTACTATAGATCAAATATAGAAATTTCAAGCTATGAAGAAAAAATTAGCATTAGATAGCAGATAGGCACGTGCTACTTTGGCCTCTCCTCAGAAACACTTTAGGCAAACAGACGGTAGCATGAGATTTCCATAGTACTAAAGGAGAGATCTTTTGAAACAAGAATTTACCAACTAGAAAAGTATTAGTTAAAAAGTGAAGGAATATTGAAGTCATTTATAGATAAGTACAAGTTGAGAGATTTTCACTAAACTTGTTCAGTAAGAAAATTAGAGAAAAATTTTCAAGGGAAAGAAACCTCAGTGAGTACGAATAATGCAGAATTATGGAACTCAATGATAGTAGTAATTATAGAAACTCAGAAGGCATCAAAATTGTGGAAATACTATGTAAAATAGCCCGAAATTTAGTTTTAATAATAAAAAAATTATAAATATAACATATACATGATTATTCTAAAGGCAAGCAACATAGAAATAGGGAAACTGAGACACCAGTAAGTCACACTGTCCTGAGCAGTAGAATATCAGTGAGGAATTTTGTAGATGTGTCAGCATTTGATGTTTTCTTCATTTTTCTGTTTATAGTTTCAAAGTCATTGTTCGGCTAAGTTGCTATGTTTGTAGCAACATCCATGAGTTCCCTACATACTGATTGGGACCCTAGGAGCCAGGAAAACGGAAAACCATGGTGGCTCAGGAAAAGAAGGAGCTGAAGAGAGGGGAGTATGGCAGCCAGATGTTACCAAGGGTGAAATGGGTAAAATCGGGGTATTTAAATGGGAAAAAGAAGCGAGGATTATATGAGGAACGGTGTGTGTACAGAAGATGTTTTCCAAATTTTAATGACAAATGGTGTTTCACTTCATTTTTTTGCCACATGTAGTTAGATTTATTACCAGAAACTCAGCAGTAATGTATTACTTGGTTGAAGAAAAATTTTTTATAAATTTCCATGTACCTATCCATGTTTCCCAAACTCTTTGTAATTAAATAATTTCAGCTGTCATTTCTTTTTGAAAGGAACATTTAGCCACCCTACAGTCCTTTCTCTATATTCCCTCATTTATGTCTTTATATTTCTAAAATAAATCAATAATGCCATATGACCACTAAATGCAAATGTTAATTTTTTAAATATCTTATTTAAAAATATGTTTTGTTGTAAATATTATTTGTATGTATTATTGAATCCAATATGATGTTATGTATATTATAGAATAATCAAATAAAATTTATTAATATACTCATTAACATATCAAGAGCATGCTTATTTTTGAGTATAGTTACATTACATACCATCAAACAGCAAAATTTATTTCTCTTATGTTACTGAAACATGTAGATTTGTCAATATCTCCCAAACATCTGCCATTCCCCTCCCAATCTCCCAGCCCCTGGAAACCACTATTCTGTACTCTAGAGTTTGATGTGTTTTTTTTCTTCTGTTTTAGTGTGGATATGTGAAGAAATTCACTTTTTTTTTCATTTTAATTTATGTTCCTGTCATATTTCATTCAGCAGTGTCCTACATTCTTGTATACTCTGTAGTATACAACAGTGAGAATCTTTTACTTTCAAAGATTTTATTGTGCACTTATGCAAGACTGTTTGCTAATTGACCCATTGATGACTCAGAACATGAGTTCAAATTTTGGCCATTGTGAAAAATACTGTAATAAATATAGAAGTGCAGATGTCTCTCTCATACGAATTAGACATCAATCAAATATGTATCCAGAGGAGGGATTTCTATATCATATGCCAAATCTAAGTTAATTTTTGAAACATCTCTCAATGATTTTAATAATAGCTATATTAACTTATTTTTCCACTAACAGAATACAGAAAAATCTTTCCCTAAAAATCTTTCTTTCCTTAAATATTCTTCGAAATTTACTCATTTTTCCTCTGTTCATTGTAAATCTAGCATGGTTAATGTGCTGTCTCATTGTGGTTTTTATTGGTATTTCTTTACTAATTAGCAATGGTAAAGAGTTTGACACGCTATTAATCATTTGAATGTTCATTTAATGAAATAACTATGTAACTACTTGTCTTTTGTTTCCACTATTGTTAAGCTGCTTTACTTACTTAAATATTTTGAAAACTAAACCATCAGAGTTATTCTAGGTATTTTTCCATCTAACAGATTATTCTTCACCTTATAGTCTATGCTCTTTAAAAACCATTTTATTGTAATAAAATCTACTTTGTCCATTTTATCTTTGGTAAAATGTGTTTTATATATCAAATTCCAAAAAGAACTATTTGCCACAAAATACTATCAAAGGTTTATTCTCATATTTTTATTAGCCGTTTTATAGTTTCAGCTGTAAAGTTTAGAATTTTCAACAGTTTTGAGTTAATACACAGTTTTCTGCATGTGTATGCATACTGTTCCCAGCACCATTTATTGATGAGACTATAGTTTCCCTGCTGTGTTTTCAGAAAAATAAGTAAATAAATAACCAAAGTTCATTGACTGTAGACATGAAGCCTGATGGCAAAATTCTTCCACCTCCTTTGTCTATTTATGTGCCAGAGCCATGCTGCTTTGTGCTGATAGATTAGCTCCAATGTGCTGCTCACATTGCTCATGATTGCTTTGAATATTTGACAACCTTTATGGTTTACTACAAACACTGGAGATTTTAATTCTTGTCCTATGAAATGCTTCATTGGTATTTTGATAATTATTCCTAGAATTTGTATTTTACTGTAGGTAGTATTGACATTTTGACAGTATTAGCTTTCTTCTTGTCAGTTAACATGGGATATGTTCCTATTTGCATTTCTTAAAATTATTTCATGAATATTTAAACCCCTCATTATGCATACACCAAAAAAACAAAACAAAGCATTATTTTGTGGAGCTTGTTAGCTCTTTAAACTTTTTCATGATTTAAATATATAATGATTATATGCAGCCATTGAAATTTTATAATTTGATATTATAACATATTGACAGATATTAAACAAAAAGAGATAAATATTTGTGAAAAAAACAAGAGATAATATGAACTTTCAAACATAAATCTCATGTTGTTCTACAGAACAAAGACAGTAAAGGTATTATTCCCATAAACAAGATAGAGTGCTCAAGTTAATCTTAGCCTATGAATATGGAAGGTCAATTTGATCAAATAAGACATATATCTACTTACTTTGACTTTGTACTTTGAAGATAGAGCTTGTTAGATCCACTTAGTTCAGAATGAGAGATAAATGCCAAATAATATTAATATGCTTTGTACTTTAATGGCTAAAAAATAGCATCAGAATTTAGGTCCAAGAGGTCCCTCTAAATTTTTTTGCTGGCAGTGGGTTTGTTCTCAACCCTAAACTCCTTGTTTATGTGTCATGAAATGACATGTTATGTGTTTATGCAATCTCACACACATGCCTTTGCTCAGTATACCTTCCACTTTGGAGTCTAAGTTTCTTTATTAGATTTCAGTATCAACTTTTAACAACCACCTTTAGAGAGATTCTGAGAGATTGAAGAATAGAGAGATTGAGAGATAGGGGTTAATAGACAGATAAAGCAGGAAGACATGAAGGGGAATTAATATTAGGAATTAACTTATGAGATTGCAGAGAAGTCTACACTCTGTTGAGAACATGAACAGCCAGGAACCACAGACAAGAGATACTATTTCCATTTTAGTCAGAAGGTCAAATGTTGGAAAAATTCTCTCTTCTCTGGTGGAGGTCAGTAATTTTTTTTTAATTACCTCCAACTGTTCTAATGAGGTCCGTGCACACACAGTCAGTAATCTTTCTGGAGAGGAGTGATCCGAATTCTATTTTCATCTAGTAAATACATTACAAGGACTTTTGTTTTGTGGTAGATCTTAGCTGTTCATGTCATAAAAATGTAAGTATGTGGGATGATGAGCATGATAATTTATTTTACTCTAATAGATATTTTACTATCTAGATGTGTCACATTGCATCATGTTTTAAGCTGCAACAAATATGCACTATAAAAGTCATTAAGAATAAATTCAATAAAACTCATGGCAGAATATCTATAGCAATAATCAAATACCTGGGTACAACAAACTATCCAATTTGACACAAAGGATTGATCATTACAGGACAGTATGTGATACACATGCTACAAACTGAGACCTGAAGCTTAGTACTTTCAGCGTGCCTTGTTAAATGCAAATAATTATTACACACCTCTCTTCCTACACCAGACTGCTACTTCTTTCCAGGATATGTCGTTCCCTTCTTCCTTGTAAACACGGTCTTTGAATATTGTGCACACAAGTGTGTCTTTAGTTAAAAAAAAAACATTTATATATAACTTCCTAAGATTCAACTAATGGCAATGATGAAAATGCATGTATTTTTCCAAAAAGGGCTTTTAAATGAATGCGGTCTTCTTCAGTTTTCTATCTTATAAATGGAGTTTGGAGTAAATTAACTTGAATACATTTGAGCAGCTGGATACTCTTCAGCTGATCTTCAAGTGCAGGAGTGATACACTGCCTCAAGTTCAATTACCTGAGAAGGTGGGTTTCTCCTTGTTGGTTGAGACACCAATATTTTTTTTTATATATATATATGTTGAGACACCAATATATTAGTATATATATATATGTATAAAATTGCAGTGTTGTATAAAAGAGAAGAGGTTAGAATTCCCTTTGACAAAGATGGAAGAGGTCCTTGGGCTAACAACCTGCATATGCTTAAGGAATTGCCACCTACTTTGTGGCATCTAGCCACTTTTTAAAAAAATCTTCTGCGAAGGAGTGTCTCTAGACACACTGAACAGGCTCCAGTGGACAAACTTACTCTGAGTGACATTAGGGCACACAAAACTGACTTGATTTATGACATTAATATATATGACAAAATGCATGAATTCCTGTCGGCAGGGTACAGGGGGGATGTACATAGTGAATGAAGGCTAAATACTCATTCTTTCCTCTTTATTACCTATTGCAGAAAGGAGTGTTTTATTTCTCCCAAAATCTTTATGTGAGCTCCACTATAAACCCTATGCATATTCTCTATTTCCAAATTTCCTGTGCTAAATAGTAAACCAAATGACATGATATCCTTAGGTAGATACTTTGTGAGTAAATATAGTTGTTATTCAGATGAAATCTTTCATTGTCTTCAAATGACTGTGATATCAAGCAGAGGCTTGTTAGATCTTTCAGTCAGAAAGAAGAAGGACATCAAATCTACAACCTAAAAAGTGACCATGACCAAATATTCTTGATAGAATCAGGAGCATGAGGTCATATAATATGCTATTTCGGTAGAAGCTTAGGAATCATAAGGCAGCAAAAGCATGATAATTCAGGTTATAAAAGAATATATCAAAGACTTGCTGCTCTAGATATGAGAACTTTAAACCACATATCACATCTATACACTGAGAAGGCATGCCAGCACTCAGGTCTTTGAAATCAAGTCTCCAAAACTCTTTGAAATGAATGTTTACTTTTTCATGCTTCCTTTTATATAACATCCTAAACATTGTTGTTGTTATTGTTTGCCATCACTATGAAGAAATACCTACTCAAAAACTTACAGAAAGAAAGATTACTTTGGGTCTTGGTGTTAATGTTTCTGCGTCCTTGGGTCCATTACTCTTGGTCTGAGATGAAGTTGAATGTTATGATTAACCACATATAATAGACCAAATAAGAGCAATTTGAAAGAGTTGAGAGTAGGTGCAAGAGAGAGAAACAGAAACAGGTCAAGTACCTGTACAAGAACAAGACATTTCCTTTTAGAATGAACCCTGCTACCCTTCCTTCTCACCCCCTAGTTTCCATGACCTCTCAACAATATCATCAATTTGTAAATTCGTTCAAGGGCAAGATGTAAAATTAGTCCTAATATCTGGGTTACCTGTGTTCCTGCAGCTCATCTCAGAACTTTCACACTTCTCATTTGTAAGCCATCTCATGGCAAGCTTTATAATGTTTAATGACTTGATCTAATGTTTTAGGTCTACAAAGTATTTCTGGGTTTATTACATCACATAAATTGGTACATGGAATTCTATTTAACTTTCTCTTCATTTGTTAAGATGTATAAAAATAAATTTATTAGCATGAGAAAAATGCTATCCCACTGAATGAAATACAAACAAAATAAATGATATTTACCTTTTAATACACTAACTTTGAGGATACCTTGTTACATAGTTATACATGACTGCAGCAGAAATAGTTGGAGTAGTACATAATCTAGGTACTTCAATATTTAAACTATATAAGTTGAGTTGAAGAAGGCAATAAGCTCATGCTACAATGTTGACTAGACAGAGAAGAATAAAAATGGCAATTCAGATTTATTATTATTATTATTTTGTTCTTTTGTTTTTTTGACACAGTGTTTTTCTTTAGTTGCAGTTGGCTTAGAACTTACTATGTAGACCATGCTCGCCTCCATCTTACAGAGATCTGTCTGCCTCTGTCTCTTATGTGATGGAATTTAAGAAATGAGCCACCATACCTAACTATAATTCAGATTTTGAAATAGAAAAAAAAAAACCTTGAAAACTAGTAATGTAACAGCTGGGAATGCACAGAATGAGTCCAGGACTTTGAGAGATATTGATGGAGAAATTTGGTAGTATTATTTTACTTACTTTTTAGCTTTCTACTAATATTAAATACAAAAAAGGCCCACATTAAAAGTTATAGTTTATAAACACTATTTAGAAAAAACATTTATTGGGCTGGAGAGATGGATCAGCGGTTAAGAACACTGACTGTTCTTAGAGAAGACCCAGGTTCAAATCCCAGCACCCACATGGCAGCTAATAACAGTCCATAACTCCAGTTCCAGGGTAACTCCAGTTTCCAGGGATCCGACAGCCTCTTCTGTCCTCCGCGTGCATTGCAAGACACGATTTCACTTATTACATGCAGGCAGTACACTCATACACAAAAAATAAAAACAATAAATGAAATATTAAAACAGTAAAGTATATATGTGACCCACAGTTTGACGATTTAGAAGGTAATTCATTTTTCTTTATTCAAGGACCTCTTAAATATAAACAATTCTTACAACAAGAAATAGGCTTGAGGTTAAAGGAAAAAGTCTTAAGGTTAAAGAGCAGTAGTAAAAAGATCGAGATGATTTGTCTTTTATTTTTTAAGTGATTTATTTATTTATTTATTTATTTAATGTTTATGCCTGCTAGCAGGTAAGTGCACCTCTGTCGTACAGGCTGTTGGATCCTCTGGAACTGGAATTATGACAGCTGTTAGATGCCATGTGTCTGCTGGGATTTGAATCGGAGTCTTCTGCAAGAACAATCAGTGTTCTTAGCTGCTGAGCTATTCTATTGGTTGTAACTTTATAGTAAAACAGGGCTCCTAATACTCTTAAAAATATTGACTAGGGGCTGGAGAGATGGCTCAGTGGTTAAGAACAAAGAAGACCTGAGTTCCTATCCCAGCACCCACATGGCAGCTCCAGTCCCAGGGGATCCGACAGCCTCTTCTGGCCTCCACCGGCATTGCACTACATGGGTGTATTTATCTACATGCGGGCAATACACACATACACATAAAAATAATAAATAAAATATTAGAAAAACATTGCCTCATAGGGATGGGGAAACATCTCAGTAGTTAAGAATACCTGCTGCTCTTCCTGAGAACCTGAATTGATTGCTGTTTGAAGGAATGCTGGGTGTCTCATGACTATTTATAACTCAAGTTTCCAGAACATCTGACACCTCTGACTTTTGTGGGCACCTATATTCATGTGCATATACACACACCTCATACACAAACATGCACATAACTAAAAAAAATAATTGGGAATATAACCTCTTAGACACCATAGACTAACAAAGAACAAGGACAATGAAAGGAATGGATGTTCTCCTTTGAAGTTGTTGACCAAGGATCCCACGGACCCCCAAACAATACTGAATATCGATCCTGCTCTTGATTACCCACCAGAACTTCACAATAAGGCCTTGTTGCTGACGATATTACATATAAGAGTTGTAGAAGAAACAAGAAAATCTAGCTGGTACTGACTTCAAAGCTTTTCTGCTGCCTAGTTTCCATGGAGCTAGAAGGTGCTATGTATGCTGTTGGGAGAGGTGGATGATCACTAGCCTTGAAAAGCTATGAATCCTGCAAACTACAGCAACTGGCCTGGCAAGATTTGCCCACAGGCACAATGGTGGTGTGTATGTTATGGAAGTAAACAACCACTTTTTGATAGGATTTGAGGTCCACTTCACAACACAGAACACATAACTGGGTTAAACAGGTCACTGGTCACAAAAAAGAGTCTATTAATACTGCCTTACTAAATAGACAGTATTAAAACGACTCCTAATGACTTAATGTTACACTTCTTATTTTGCATGGCAGGGAGTATAAACAGCACCAGCATAAGATGGGTTGTATTTGTAAACTGCTGTGTTAATATGTTCAGTTCTTCATGTGCAACTACCCTCTGAAAGGTCACTTCTTCAATGGTCAGAAATTGTCTTCTACATTTCTTGTGGTAAAATATTTTGCAGATTTCTCTGCCCAGTTAACAAAACTAAAACCAACAGGGATTTTACGAAGTATTTACACATCATTTGAGCTTGTTCTTGTTTGCCATTTTTAGTATCAAAAAATTGATATATAATGAACTCTGAACTAGCTCATGCAATAATAAGAGACAAGAAGTTAATTTGTTGCTGTCTTGCCAATTAACAACCTTCCAACTTCCAGACAAGTGAGTTTACCCTAGCTTGTCACCTACCGACCTAATAGATACCCTTGCAATATTAGCAAGTGTGGCAAAGATAAACTGAGCACTCGAGGAAAAAAATAGAAAAATAAAAACAATCCATGGGTGATCAGGCTAAACTAAAGAATGATTATTTGTTGCCTCTATGTATGAGGATATTTTATTATAACAGAAAATAAACGTTAGAAAAAAAATTACCCACATTTAATATTCCAAAATATATGTAGAAATATACAATGTAATTATACAAAATAAAATATTTTATAGAATATCTTTTTATGATTCTATTATAAAGATTTTGGATAATCATTTAGTGAAAGAGAGCTAAAAAATGAAGAATCAAATATTTCAGATTTTCAAATTGAAAGGACATTCACATTTACATTGGTATCACTTGTAGGATACTGCTATATTTCTGCCAAATAGAATAGCATAAAATATTTTACAAAAACACAGAATGTAGTTAAGGGGGAAAGTTGTTAATAAAGTGAGAAGGGTTAAATGGAATGGAGAATGGGAAGGCAAGGCAGAGGTGGGGACATGGGGAGAACAACCAATCCTAAAATCATTTAGAAAAAGTCATGTGGAAACCTACCACTACAGAAGCTTCTTAAAGTATATACATGTACTTTATGGCATGCACACTATGGGAGCAACAAACCACTTTCTAATTGGACTTAATTTCCTCTTCATCAGGTGAAGCCCATATCTGACATTGATATAAGACCTAAGAACCTGAGGCTAGACAGGTCACCGGTTACAGGGGAAAGCCTAGTAATAGTTTTATAAATCATTATCATATTAAATAGACTCCTAATGACTAATTGTTACACCCATACATTAATGTATCTCAACTCTCACCAGAGATGTTCCTTTATACAGCAGATGGTAATTAACAAAGAAACCCATCACTGGCCAAAACTAACAATATTGATGGCAACTACTATATTCAAAATGCTTACTTATAGGCATATTATGACTTCTAGTCAAAGAAATCCC